CAGCGACTGACCCAGGTTTATGCTGTTCCCATCCTACTTAAGGACCACCGCCCAGAAACAATTTCGAGCACCCAGAAAAGTGTCAAAAGAGTATCAAAAGAGTGACAAAACAGTGTCGGGCAAGTGTCTCCCAGGGCCCGACGCGTGAAACTCCTTGCGTTTCGGTATTTTGTTCTGGCGCTCAAAAATTATTTCTGGTGAGACTGGCCGAAAACTTCAGTTTTCTTGAGCATCGCCTACGGTGTAGATATCTCCCCGGGCGCCAGGAGTGCAGTCGGACCTAACAGTCGGACCCAGGCCAGAAGAGCATCCTTCAAGAACATGAAGCCCCTCCGCCGGCCAACACGAAGAGATGCACACAAACATCCAACAAACACCCAACAAGCATCCAACAAGCAAACAAACATCCAACAAACATCCACACCTGCACAGAAACACACACACAAACATCCACCAAAACAAACATCCAATAATACCCACAACAACAACATCCACACAAACATCCACACAAACATCCAAACATGCACACCAACATCCACACAAACATCCACAAAGGGTACTCTTTCCAGGATGCACACAAAAACATCAAACAAGCACAACAAACATGTTGGTGCCCTCCCCGAACAGACCTTGATATGATACCTCGGACCACCTATAAAGTAAGAGGTTTGGAGAAAACACTGAGGAGATGACCTCCAGATATGCGCTCGTCGGCAGCGGCTGTGAGCCATGCGTGTAGCAGGGTCGGACACACTATAATCATTGAGCACTGGGCTAAAACAGCCTATCTTCGCACCGAGGTTCTGGGCATAGCGATTACCTGCAAGAGACTTTCTCACGAAAAACGGCTTGTCACAAATGTGTCGCAAGGTCCCCAGATCTCACGCTCTTCTCCTGGAAGAGCCCGACAACAAATATTGCTGGGGCGGCCTTAAAGCGCTTGAATCATTCCACACTCTCGTTGCCCGAGTTCTGAAGGCTTGCTGCTACGGTGTATCACCCCCCCCCCCCGACAAAGTTGGCCTCACGTGTGTGGTCCAGGTGAGCGCCTTGACTGAATGTACAACGTGTTGACTGACTGGTCTAGAAGAAGAGCAGAAACACATAAACGTAAACTTTTGGCGCTCCGCGCGGATTTCTTGGATCCGCGCTGGGCCTCCCTCCCTGGCGCGCGGAGCGCGCCAGGGGCGGCGCCGGAGGCGCCGCCGGGGGGGGCCCAATACCAGGGCAAGTATGTAATGGTCCTCCTGCCACAGCGGACTCTCACGTCTCAGACCTGGCAGGACGATTTGGATGGGCACAAAGGGGCGCAAACGGGCGTGGGGGCCGAGATCGATCCTCGCATGCAACGCGCACCGGTAGCCGACCAAGTCTCTCAAAGCTAGGATTGGGTCGGACATGTCCCCCTATAGACAGATGTGGGCGAGAAACCAAAAATACCCCACAAAGGACCCTGCTGAAGAAGGAAGGACGCGGGCTGCAGCGCCAATGGCATCTGCATCTGCAGCCTTCCGAGATGCCCGGGCTGTTGCGTGGTATACGCTACGGCCCACCGCTGGGCCGTAGCGCAACGTGTCGTTTGTTGTTTGGTCGATCTGTGCGTAGGTGGTTTGGCAAACCAGGCGGCGGGCAGGGGGGGTGCGGGCGGGAACCAGCCAGCCTCAAGCATATCCTGTCCCTATGATTGGCATCGCCTCATCTCTGACTCTTCGTCCTTTTCCTCCCCCTCTTCTTCTCCCTCCTCCTCCTCCTCCGCCTCCTCCTCCTCCTCCTCCTCCTCCTATTCCTCGTCCTCCTCCTCCTCCACATCCTCCTCCTCCTCTTCCTCCTCCTCCTTTTCCTCCTCCTCCTCCTCCTCCTCCTCCTCCTCCCCCTGGTCCTCCTCCTCCTCCTCCTGGTCCTCCTCCACCTCCTCTTTTTCCTCCTCCTCCTCCTCCTGGTCCTCCTCTTCCTTCTCATCCGCATCCTCCTCCTCCGTCCTCGCCTTCGAAAAGGGACTTGCATCCCCCCCCCCCAATAGTCCCTCTCACTGGGTCGACGGGGAGGGGGGCCGCGACAGTCACAGGAGTATCAGAGACGACCCAGGATGGCCCCAAGATGGCCCCAGAGATCCCAAGATGGCCTCAAAGAGGACGGTTTCCAACATGACCGCCCAAAGACTGTTCCAAATGTCCATGGACCCTCTCCAAATCACACCCAAACCAACGAACATTCGTGTTGAATTGCCGTTTTGTCCTGTCCTCCCCGGTGAGCTTCGAGGCCTCAAGATGACTCCGAGATGGCCCAAGGGAACCCTAAGGGATGCCCAAAAAGGGCCCAATATGACCTCAAGAGCGGGGTTGAGTGCCCGAAAAGCGTCCCGAGAAATCCCTCGGAGGCGAGCTGTCTGCCTCCGACGGGGAAGTGCCGCAATAACTTGTTACCCCTCATGGTACGACCGATAGCGTCAGAGATGGCCCCAAGACGGCCAAAGCGAGCTGCCAAGAGGCTCCCAAATCGTTAGGTCCGAGAAGGCATGCGTGGTTGGCACCTGGAGCCACGCAGGCTGATTCCGATCTTCGGCCCCCCTCACCATTGTCCACTGAGTGTTCTTCATTTCCTGATCAATGCAACTCACTTGGAAACCGTTTCTGGATTGGCTGGTGGGTATACTCGAAGCGCCGTACATTTGAGTGCTACCAACGGTGCTGGCAGAAACCCGCTGGATCTGCCCGATGTGGCAGCACACTTGTGCGAGAAACCGCATACGAAACCCTGAGCGAGGTAGCGAGGGCGGCCATGGTTTGGTTCCCAACGTGGGTCTGTTACTATAGAAAGGGTCCGGAAACACACGTTGAAACACATATTATGCCTATCTGTGCATATGCGATCTGGCAAATAGGGGCGGCATCAACGCGACGCCAATGGGCGTCGTGGACTCGAGCCTTTGGCAAGGAAGCACGAAACGCACGATTACCCATACCATGGAGTTCTGCAACCTGTCACTTTGTTCTGGGGGGGCACGGACACGCAGAACAATGTTCAGCTAATCGTTAGCTGGCGCCCGCCTCGGATTCATGCCCCATCCCCCGCCGCCTCGCAATATCCCTTTGCTTCGGCCCACTCTCCTCATGCCCCTCCGATTACCCCTGATCTTTCATCATGCCCCCCATCCACACTGTCACCCCTCATGTGCCAATTCGTGTCGTTCCTCGTGGTCCTTCCCCGCCCGATTCGTTCCCCCATCGTCCACATGCTTGCCCTCCTTCCATCCTCTACGCCCTAGTGCACATCATGCCCCTCCTTCTGCCCCCCCCCGCCTCCCTCGCCCTCGTGATGCTGACGCCGATCATGCAGCTCCTCCTGGGCCCGTTTCCTTCCCTCTCGTCCAGTTCCGCTCATCCTTGGCCCCTTGGCCACCCCTCCTATCGAACCCCTTCCTTCCCACAGCCCACCGTCCCCACCCCCCCGCGCCTTTGCATGCCCAGACTGCCCCCTCCTGGACCAGCCGGGAGACCCGCGGAAACTCCCGCCCAGTGACCACTCCAGCGAGCGGCGCGCAACATATGCACAGCTGGAGACACGAACTGTGCATTTCGACCGCGTACGACGCCCCCCTGGACCAGCCGAAAGAGAAACGTGAAAGTCCCCGCCCAGTCAACACCACCTGCGAGGCGCACGCTCCGAATACACAAATGGGAACGAGATTTGTGTACACAGATCACACCACGATCTGTGTAAACAGCAGGCCCAAACACGAAAATACTCAGCTGAAAACACAAACTGTATAGACAGATCACACATTGATCTGTGCATTTCGAAAAAATGAACGCTTGCCACCTCGAGGGTGCCCCGACTTTGCCAACCCAGAACCGATGTCGACATGCCCACCTAGGGGGGAATCAAACACACACTTCCCCGGTTCAGGGCGCGCCCGTGGGAGCTGCAAATACATGCTTCCCTGGCCTGAGGCGGCCGCTGCGAAACGCGGCACCAAAGCGGTCCCAATGGTCCGAAAACGCACCGAAAAAAAAACCTCGAAGGACCCCAAAGAATGCAGCGCAGCAATCCGAAAACACGAGAAGTGTCACATGCCATGGACCTCTTAACACTCAAAGCTCCACGCGTCGCGGGGGGACGGGCAAGGGGGCAAGGAGGCGGACCTTGCCGCTGGCACCTATAACTTACATGTTAGCGATACGTCTGTGCTCGGCGGCCGTGCCGCCCGCGTTTGGAATGCGCCCCGAACGCTCGCATTGTCAATCGCCTCTGTTTGGTTGCGCCGCTGTGCTCGGATATCGAAAAGGCGAGATACTGCTGATACGGGCACGCGGCACCAGGAACTGCACATTTCGAACATGGATGGAAAACGAGGTAGGACGACGGACGGTGGAGCCGGGAGGCAAAGAGGAACGAGGAATAATGAGGGAGGTGGGAAGGGGCGCTCCCCGGCCCGAGCCGCGGACGCTTTCGACACCACCCAGGGGAGGGAAGAAAGGAAGGGGAACGGAGCAAGGGCAAGGACGACGACGGGAAGCAAACTGTCCTGGGTCCGCATATAGCCATATGCTTGCGGTTTGGGTGCGCGCGCTTTCTTCGAGGCGCTTCAAGCCCGACCCATACTGAATTCACTAATTCCTCCAAACTGTGTAAACACTCTGTCCCCTGTTCCCCCTCCTATACAACTGCCTCAGACCAGAGGGGCAGTGGATTCCAAGCCATGGCAACGCTTTTAAGGGTGCAACAGATTGTTGGCTGGCTGGTAGGCGCTCTCAATCCTTCTTGCAGGGCCTGGTAATGTTCAACACCACGCTTCTCATCGAACGGATTCTTCATAGAGACCCATACGAGTCATAGAAGGATGGAAACACGGTTCTGAAGGCCCCAGGCTTATCCTGCAACTCTTCCTCATCCAGCTCCTGCGGTTGTTCGTCCCTCTCGTGCTCATCCTTCTGAGTTCTATCATCCGTCTCGCCCTCCTCCCCCCCTGGATGCCTACCTCTGGCCCACGGTTCGCGCGCCTGGTGGATAATGCCCATTTGATTGTACAGCTCGACCTGGCTGCGGGCACGCGGTAGGGGGAGGGACGGACACAACCGACTCAGAGGCCAGCATCAAGCCGTACATGTCGGTCGGAAGAAGTGGGTAGAACCATGAAATAGGAAGGCGTTGGGAGTAGATAGATGGGGTTTCCGCCCGCCCCCTGAAGAGGAGGGAAGAGGAAAAGCCCCTCGACTCTTGAAGTAATGGTAACTCACAAGGGGGTAATTGGGATGATGCGAAACAAGAAATCACACGTCCTCGCCCTCACACCCAACCGCCCTCCCACCGTCCCCCGTTGCGTCCCAAATGTCCTCACCGTTCCCTCGCCACTTTCACCCACGTGTTTTCAACCCTTCATTATGACTATGATGTGCTCCCTCGCCCTCCGATCTTCAACCCTTAGTATGGTTATAATGTGCTCCGTCTCTGCCACCCAGCTTGCCGATCGCATCTCGATCCGCGACCTCCCGTCATACAGTGGAGGCCAGTCCACAAGAAACCTTCCACAAGGAACTCCACCCTTCGACCCAGGACGTCCAAGGCGAACATCTGTAGCTCCCGCCCTGGCGACGAGCTCGGTCTGCCCAAGGCCTGGGCTCCCTCGCAGAGTTCGCCCGGAAGTGGCGTTCCCGCCTCGGCACGGCGTACAGTGTTCACTTGCCGAGTCTTGGCACCGTTTAACCGGACCCTATCCCCATGACGTGGCCTGGGCCCCAGTGGCCGATTGACCCCCTAGATGGGGATATAGGCCGTTCCCTTCGGGTTTCGAGGTGTGTCCCCAACTGGGGTGCAAGGATGCTGGGGGTATGGATGGGGATGTGGATGGGGATGGGGATCGGTTAAACGATACCGAGAGTCGTTCGGGGCGGGTGACGTGTCGCCTTTGCCCAGAACTCCGTGCATATTTCCCCTCGAAGTGGCGTCCCCGCCCTGGCGCTGCGCATGTGTCGCCCACTGAATCGTGTAAACAGGCGGTGGAGGCGGGGCCGAGCGAGTAGGCCAAATGCTGCTCTTGCTGGAACACCACGAAGCTTGTGCTTGAGAGTGGGTGGGTGCACCCTGTCGGAGCGGCGCATGATGAGTATCGTTTAACCGACCCCCATCTACAGCGGCGTGGCTTGGGCCCCACTGGTCGATGTACCCCCCTAGATGGGGACATAACAGGTCGTTCCCCTCGAGCTTCGAGGGGTGTGTCCCCAACTTGGGTGGCAATCTGGCGGGGGTCTCAAAGGGGGATGGGGATGGGGATTGGTTAAACGATGCCCACACGATTCGTCTTCGCCGCGCCCATCGGAAGGTTGGCCGACCCGGGGGGGGGCACCGAGCGCCGTAGCTCTCCCCGTTCCCGGCCGTGCGCGGTCCTCGGTGTGTCCCCTCGCCAGGGCTGTCGGAGGCGGGACTGCGCGCGAACGCCTCCGTTCGCCAGGCGGGAGCGCCAGTTCGAAAACTGAGTCCGGCAGGTCCCTGTCTGGAAGAAAAATGGAAAATCACCCTGACAAGATTCAAAAATAGTCAAGTCAAGACATCGTCTCCAGAATATTGTTTGACTATCTTAGAACATTCCCCCTTTAGATGGACACACCCGACTCTATGCAAAAATGAAATTAGGGGAATCGGCAGGGCCCCCAGACTCGTTCGACCTTGCTAGCTTGAGCCATGGCTCCAGAAGTGCGGGCGAAGTGGATGCGACCGAACGTTGGCCACCTTTGCACAAGGCAACGCGGGTCTCGTGGATCAGGGGTCAGGCGGGCATTGCGAAGCGCGGGGCCAGCACAGTGTCATCGCAACTAGGCAGTGCTGAGTCAAACGATGGCCCAATATCATAGCAAAGCGACGGAGGGAAAATACATGATAAACAGTCAGGGCGAGGAAAGCTGGGTGGCCAATGGACCCCAATAGAACCAGAGCAGGCCGACCGAGTGGCATGCCTACTGGGCCCAACAGGGGCAGTGTATGCGAAGACTGTGTGAGAATCTCGACGCGCTTGGATACGGGCAACTTGCACGCTGGCGGCCTTCTTGTATCGCAAGACACACCCACAAACGTAAACGCATGCGGCGGTGGACCGTGAACCAGGGGGCCCGACAAGCACATGAATGATCGTTCCGACACCACTCGCTAAACATGCGATACAATCAGCCCAGGAGACTCAGATGGCCAATGACATGAGAGGCCGCGCTAAGCAATCTGGAGCAACATGTCGCCCGCTCCGGGAGTGTGCCGTTACTATCTGTTGCAGCTGTGGCTGTCTGCCACAATGCCCAGCTCCCAAACACAGAAATGGGGCGACTGGACGGCCTACTAAGAACCCCCCCCCCCAGTGGGAATGGAGGGCAAACTGGGGCCTTCGGGTTGGATTGTGGTGGCCTGGTGGGTGGTGATGAGGAGCACCCGGTTGGCTCTTCACAAGAACACGGGGCAGAAGGAGGACAAGCCCGCTACGACTGCTTGCGAGTTGATGCCGCCATCGACTCGGGGCCGCCATTTCGATCCGCATCGAGCTGCCGTGCCACAGAATTGCTCAGGGGAGAGCGATCAGGAGGAGGAAGAAGTGGAGGAGGGGTGGGATCACCTCAATAACTCCCGAATTGCTAAGCGCAGAAACGAGAGAGCCGATATAAGCAAAGAGCAATGATGGCGTGACCAGCAACAGATGCTGTACAGGCGCTTCCCCGGCAGCTTCCTGCCCCATACGAATCTGCAGACCCCGCCCCACGAAGCGATCTGGGAGAGGGAGAGCAAAAGAGGGACCGCATTGGATCTGCGGAATTTGACGTGCATGAATTATTCCGCTCAGGTGGCTCTAGGTTTCCGCTGGGTGCGGGGGCACATGGACTAGGCAATACGTTCAAACGATGTTACTGCGTCATGTATTCCAGCTCTAAATGCTAAACGACTTCGCAAAAAAACAACTCTAATACGATACTGAACCTGAAAGAGTAATAGATCAATGTGGTCCACTATGCGTGCCCTGGCTGTTCTATTCTACACTACTCCACTCTACCCTTCTCTGAACTTCTACTCCGAGCTACCCCTCCTCCAGCTCACACTATTCCGTAAGCACCCTCGCACGATTGTGCCTCTTGGATTACCAGATGCGGGTCGCGTGAGACAGAGGAGACGCTGCGCGCGAAACTCTGCGGTTGTTGCAATATTCGGCAGTGCGGACAGGGTCATATCACGGTAGCCATCTCTATCATCGTTATCTGAATGCGTGCTGTAATGGTCATGATGGTCATGCTTGTCACAAAATTTGGCACGTGTATTCCAGTCAAGTGGTAACGAGCAATACGATGGGCAATTCGATTACCATGGTAACGGTGGTCATTATGACGATGAAGATGTTGATCATGGTCATGGTGGGCATCATAATGACAATGATGGTGATGATCATCATGATGATGACTACTCGCCCCCCTATACCACCTCTAGACGTGTACAGAAGACGTGATGTCGGTTCAACGGGGCTGGACTTGGGGTTCTACCTTTTCCACTCATCATACCAGATTGGGGATTCTACCAAGTAGGACGAAGACCTGCCCCCCACGCCCAAAGTCCCGCCCCAGGTCATTTCAAGTCGCAGACCATACTCATGATCGATCGAAATGTTCAATGGCCCTTGACCGTATCTGCTGTACGCGCAGACGCTGCTTGAGGAAGATTAGCAAACATAGACTGTGTTTAACGAAGGGCCACGATATCCACCGTTCTGCAATTGGTGTTTCGAGGTGGATGCGCTTTGGGGGAGTCCTCGGAGAAGCGGTCGAGGTCGAGAAGACCTCCCTCTACACCTCCCTCTGGGCAACTTCTTCTTATGATTATTCTTCTCCCATGTGCACGGCACCCAGACGAATGATACTTCCCCTGTAGCAGAATCACTTGGTGAGCGTTTTTTTTCGGCGTTTCGACATTGGGCGGAAGGGGGGGGAGGGGGGGGGGGTTGGCTCCAGACCTCTGCTGGATGCGACTGTTTGGAACAGGGCGTCCATTTTTGGGGAGGCTCCACCTGCTCGAAACAGGCGCCAAAAAACATCACTTGTAGAACCTCCGTTTCAACATCCTGCGTCACACCTCCGTCACGATCACGAATACGCACTATGACCAAAGCAGATGCGTCGCAAGTTCGTGCACAAGACTGTGCGGATGGTTGCGTCGAGCTGCTGGCTGAAATGCTAGACGGAAACTGTTGCACAGCAAGCTCGAGAACTAAGCGACAGCTAACAAGACAACAACCATTTGCGTCCTCGGTCTCGTTCTCGTCGTCCTCGGCTGTGATGGTCATGACCTGGCCAAACTCCCGTGGATCAAATGGAGCACTCTGAACGTGCTCGGCACACCGCGAGCGGTCTCCAATACTCTTGATGAGATAGATGGATGCACATGGACCTCTGCCGCCGTGGAAACGACAGCGCCCGCCCCACGAGCAGATGTCGTGGTTGTTCGAAGGGGGTCCAGAACATTCAGCGCCTGCGGTAGCGTCGGCGTTTCGGTCGCGAGGAGAGGTCCGAACCCTGAATTCGCAGGCTGCGCTCGCGAGGGCGGGCACAGAGAGGGCCCCTTCGCCGGAGGCCGATGCACGTGCGGGTCCCCGACTGCTTCGGGGTCGGCCAAGAGGGGGGCGCAAATCGTGGCCGGCGGCGTGTGCGTGGCCCAGGGGGGGGGCCAGGGACGTACAGGGCAGCTTCTGATACATAGGATGTTTAAACGTGTATGATTAATGTATGAATACATGTATGCACGAACTCATCGTTGCTTTTACTACTAAATCCCTGCATTTCGAATACATGATCCGCACGCGGAGCATGTTTTTTTTTTGTGACAAAACAAAAAGAAAAAAAACGGCACTGTACTGAAACGAGAAGCGGCGCCGTGAAATCTGGGGGGGCACCGTGGCCCCCGCCATGATGTCCGCCCCCGCCTAAGTCATCAATCCCCCCCCCCCTTGGCCGCCCCCGACGGTCGAAGTTTTCCGCTCTGCTCCGGGACGGCCTCCTGCTGCCGCAGAGGAGGGGGGGCTGCCGAGACTGCGCGGGAGGCCCGGGAGGCGCGCCCCCGGCGGGCGGGCAGACCCGACGGGCGGCTGCGGGACCCCCTGGGAAACCCCCACGGAGGGCTCACGAGCGGCCTTCCCGGGGCCTCCCAGGCCTCGAACTTGGACGCCCGAGTTATCCGGGGTAACTCGGGTCCGGGGTAACTCGGGTTTGGGTTCCCGAAAAACGAACCCGAGTTAGCCCTGACCCGAGTTACCCCTGATGATTCGGGGCTCTGACGAACCGTCTCTCTGAAGGCGCAGGCGGCCCTGCGAGGCAGAGGGCCCGTAAAGCGTGAAGCACTTCTGGATGGCCCAGACCCCCCGTTTCGCAGGCGCCCCTGGGCGCCGGCGGATGCCGCTGGGCGCTGCTGGGGTGTGCCCCGAGAAGCTCCCAGGAGGGTCGAGGAGGCCTCTAAGACAGGCCAAGAGCTTTCCAAGACGTCCCCGATTGCCTCAAGACGGCAACATATGCCCCCGAAACGCTCCAAGAGAGCTCCAAGAAGAGTCCACAAGAAGGCCCCAACAACCAAACCTCTCAGTGTCTAAGACGGCCTAAGAGGCCCCCAAGATCGCCGCAAGAATGGCCCCAGAGGGCCCCACAACGGCCCAAGAGGGTCCCAAGGCGGCCCAAGATGCTTCCAAGACGGCCCAAGAGGCCCCCGAGACGGTTCCAAGAGGGAGCCCATACGGAGAACCCGAACAGACATTTCGAGCCCTCGCGCTCAAAAGGCCCGAAGAGGCCCGCAAGAGGCCCCAAGAGGCCCCTAAGAGGCCGCCGAGAGGCCCCCAAGAGGCTCCCAAACTGTCCCCAAGAAGCTACAGAATTGTCCCCAAGAGGCCCCCGAGAGCGCTCCGAAGAGACCCCAGGAAGCAGACCTGAGCCCTCTGACCCACAATCCAGACTCGGTGGCGGGATGGGCCGAAGGTATTTTGTATACATTCGGTTCCAGAACTTTCACGAAATCTAAATTTCTAATATGATAGGGCTCCCCATGCGGGTGGACGCGCGGAAACCGATCTGAAGACTCTTCTCTCAAACAAGCAAAATGGCCGAGATGGGATTAGTGAGAGTTTGACCTACTGGAACTGCCGCTGATCGACGCCCCTTGATCCACGACTCCGCATCCTTGATCTTCCTCCTCCTCCTTTTCCTTCTCCTCCTCCTCCTCTTCCTTCTCCTCCTCGCGCAGCCACCGAGACCTGCGAGGCCGGGATTTATCCAGAACCACCACCCGTGGTTTCCGTCTTCGGGGACGGCAAGCTGGGGGTATGGATCTACTCGGGCCCTGGGGGGACCGCATAGACGCATATACCCACGTCCCCCCCTCTGCCGAGGTCTCCGAAGATCGGTCCCCCAGGCGGTGCTTACGAGTGCAACAAGTCCCGCGCCGCGGCCACAGCAACGCCCGTCGCTGCTCGTGGGTCCGCCGCCTGATCCCAGCAGCCTGTGCTGCGCGGCGACGAGGGAGGGAGAGAGGGAACGAGAAGGAAGCAGCCGACCGCGAGCGCGCAGGCGGGAGGCCAGGGCGGGCGGGCAGGCAGGACAGGACAGAGCAGGTGGCCACATGTGAATCCTACCCTACCCCCAGCCCCTAAGATTTCTCAGGAAGTGTGGGGGCCCACTCCCCTCTGGAGCTCCCGAACGAAGTGAACCCCCCACCCCCCGCCCTGAGGAATCGTGGGGGGTGGGGGTAAGGCTTCACATGTGGCCACCGACACAGGGCACACGCCCTGGGAACCCCGACCCCCGACGTCATGTGTTTCATGGCGCGACTCCCAGAGGTCCGGACCCACCCCGGGGCCGGCTTCTCATCCCGAGTTGTTTTTTGACGCTCCCGGAGCCCAGTGAGGGCTCCCAGAGACCGAAAATAGCGAAACGCCTCCGCTCGTGATCTGGGGAACGGAGGGCTCGAGAGACCGAAATTGTTCTTCGCGACCTGGGGACGGAGGGAACACGCCCCGGGAAGCAGCCCTCCGCCGAGCACCCCCGCTGTCCCGCTCGCACGCCCGCCGCCCAGGACGCCGCCAGCCCCGGGCGGGCGCCCTCCGCTCTGGGACGCAGCAGGACGCGCGAGCCCGCCGACGCTCCGCGAGGCACGAGCTGGAGTGCCCTCAGGTCCAGCGTGGTCACTCCTCAGCCCTCAGCCCGCAGTGCGAGCCCCAAGACTATACACCGCCACCTCCTCCACTCTCCCCTCCCTCCTCCGCTCCTCCTCGTCTCTCCCTCCTCCGTGGGAGCGGGAGGGAGTGAGGGTGGTGGTGGTGGTGGTGGTGGTGGTGGTGGTGGTGGTGGTGGTGGTGGTGGTGGTGGTGGTGGTGGTGGTGGTGGTGTGGTGGTGGTGGTGGTGGTGTGGTGGTGGGGTGGTGTGGTGGTGTGGTGGTGGTGTGGTGGTGGGTGGTGGTGGTGGTGTGGTGGTGGTGGTGGTGGTGGTGGTGGTGGTAGTGGTAGTGGTGGTGGTGGTGGTGGTGGTGGTGGTGGTGGTGGTGGTGGTGGTGGTGGATTTTTGGGACCCGCACTCAGTCCTCAGGACTGAGCATCACGGTATTGCGGGGCCCGGACCTAAAGAGTCTCAAATCTTCCGACGTTCCCAGCGTGCCTCCCGCGGTTCCCCGGCGCTTCCCGTATTGCTTTTTCGAAGCCTTGGTGGTGCGCACAAGGGGGTGGAGGGAGGGGGAGGGCTTCTTAGAAGGAGGCTGCTTCTTAGAAGGCGCCGGCCTTACATCTATAGAGAAGGCCCGCGCCTTCTGAGAAGCAGGGGTGCTTCTAAGAAGCCCTCCCCCCTCCCCCCACCCCCCCCTGCGGGTGGCTGAAATCCACGAGCGCCCCCCACATGGACCAAGAAGGACACCGAGAGGCTTCTGACCTACAACCCATGCACCGTGGCGGCATGAAGGCCAGTAGATCCGCCGCCCCCCGTTGGCTTGCAACAGGGGTGCCTGGCGTGCTGGATCTCTGGATGGTTCGGTTCTGTTAGAACTCCCAGTGGGGTCTTGGCCCAATCCGCCTGCCACCAGTGAAGCCAGAGAAAAGTAGTTCTCCCGTGGCCCAATCGCGTCCAAGACGACCAAGACGGTCCAAGATGGCTTCCAAGACGCCTCCTGAATGGCTTCCAAGATGGCTTCCAAGACGCCTCCAAGACGGTTCAAGATTGGCCCAAGATGGACTCCATGAAACCCCAAATGACATGACATTGACCCAGAGGCCTCCAAATCGGCCCAAGAGGCCTTCAGGAGGAACTCCAGGAAGGCCCGAAGAGACCCAAGCCATCGATTGCCCTTGCGTTTTGGCAGGATTCTGGCGTTTGCTCATTTCCAGCTTTCACATTGTCCAAGACGGCTCCAGAGGCCACCGGGATGACCTCAAGAGCGCCTGAGAGGGCTCCGAGATGGCCATTTGACGGCTAAACAGGCCTCCAAGACAGCCCCCAGACTACCCAGGAGACCTCTAAGACGCCCAAGATGGCCTCCAAGACGGCCCTAAAGCGCCCCAAGAGGGCCGTAAGTCGGCCCAGAGAGGCCCCCAAGACGGCTTCCGACGGGCCAGGAACGCCCCCAGACGGCCAAAGGGTCTCCCAAGGAGTCTCCAAGGCCCCCAAGAGGCCCAAGGAGGCCTCCGAGAGGCCTCCAAGAGACCCCCAGGAGGCCCCGAGACTGCCCCAAAGGCTCCGAAGAGTCCTCCTCCTCCTCACCTCCTCCTCCGCCTCCCCCTCCCCCTCCTCCTCCTTCTCCTCCTCCTCCTCCTCATCCTCCTCATCGTTATCTTCCTTTTCCTCCTCCCCCTCCTCCTCCTCCTCCTCTTCCTCCTCCTCCTCCTCTTCCTCCTTGTTCCTCTCGTCCTCTTCCTCTTCCTTCCCTCTAGTGTTTCCCGAAGGGCTCCCACAGCAGCTGGGGGTGGACACAGTCCGATAGCGTGGTCGAGCTCTGACCACACGTTCGGCCGCAGAGGCGCGTCCAAAGGCAGGGGGCGGCGGTGATTCGCCGCAGGCGGATTCGATACTATTCGCGTCCCTGGGAGGGACATGTCCGAACCGAACATAGTCAAGCATCTTGCATGTGGTCTTTACCCAGGCAGTATGGCCAGAAAGCGCCCGCAAGCCAGCATACAAAACATAATGTCTATGATTGCGCGCGTCGCCGCCTGGGGGGGCGACGCACACACTGTATACAGTTGTGTATGTGTATATGTACGCACAAATATGTATTTTGTACACATATATGTATGTATATCTGTTATAGATATATGTGTGCTTGGGTGATGCCTTCGCTTATCGGTCGGCCCTCAGCCGTCGAGCCCTGGTCCCGAAGCTCCCTCCGCTGACCCAGAAGCTGCTCTCCCGGGTCTTCGCGCGGCTCAGGTACTTCATCAAGCTCTGCCCCCCGCGCCTAGGCAGGGGCTTCGGCGGCGCCGGGGAGGAGCGCGAGGAGGAGAACACTCCGGGGGGGAGGCAGACGAGAACGGCGAAGCAGAGGGGACTGTTGGATCGGGCAAGTGCAAGACTCGAGCTCGGGAAACTCATATTTATTTCCTCCATGGGGCCGTCAACTGAAGCAAGGAGCTGGTCTACGCGAACTTCCGCCGCAGGCGCCTGACAGAAACTGGGCCGTCAGAGCGTCTAACAAAAAAATCCGGGATGTACTGACCGGGTCGATCCAAACCCGGGTCAGTCAGGCATTGCAGGATCCGGCAAAATCTTACAAAACCCTGCAGGATACCGCTCCCAAGCCGGGTTCGTGCGACCCTGGCTCTGCAGGATCCTGCGAGATCCGGCGCTCTGGCTGACTCCTGCTCCCCCCCCTCACTCGCCGCCGATCTCGAGCCCTGTAAGATTCGACGCACCCGAGTTCCGGCAACCACGAGTCCTGCGCTTCCACGACGGGGGGGGACAGCAGGTCAGAAGGCTCTGCCCCGCGGGGTCGCCGAGGGCAGCGCGCGGAGGCGTCACGGCCTGCCCGCTTGAGGGGGGCGAAGCGGTTGAGCGACGCGGCACGCAGCCGCGAGGAGCATCGGCGAAGAGCGGCACGCGCACGCACACGAGCACGGGCCTGCATCCGGGCGTGCTACTCCATCCTCTCGCCCTGTCTGGAGGGCCGACCTTGAGGAGGTGCAGACAGGGACAGGCCCCGGCACCACGGGGGGGCATGCTCCCGTCCCTCCTGCCTTCTTTTCCTCCTCCCCCCTGCTTCTCCCCGGCGCCCTCTCCCTGTCCCTCCCCAGGTCCTCTCTTGTTTCGCCAGTCCGCACGGTGATGTCCAAATTCCGATTCCTATACATCGGGTCATCTCATCTTAGCACAGGCGCGTACCATTGTCCCAATCCACCGCATCTCAACTCATTGTCATGTCATCCCATCGTCTCGCTCAATCCCGACTGCTCTTATGTATGTCTGTATGCAAGCCACGTGCTTCGTGTGATGCACGTGAGATTGTTCGGGACACCATGGGGACATCATCGATTGAGATCAGGACACCATCGCCACAACGCCAAACACACAATGTTACCGCAATGCTTTCACATTCGACCGATGCACTTATCGCAACACCCTTACGACATGACCACGACAACAACACGACATATCACGCTGCCGCGACTCTACCACTACACTACGCCAGCGTGACAACATAGGGAAACCGTGAAGATGGCACCAAGACATCATCGCCATACTATCACGACACCGATCGAAGACCACGTCGATTCCCCCACCCCCAACCCCCTACGCCCGCCCAGGGAGCACCAGCCTAAACGCCCTGATAAGTCTCGCGACGCTTCGAACACACGGCACGGACCCGAGTCACACACGTTGATGCTTCGCACCTCCCACCCCCAACAGTTTGTTTACACCTTGCAGTGCTATTTGACAAGGACGATGGGGGTGCCGCGCACCTGGCTGGCGTCTGCATTGATGCCTGATGATTGTTCATGGTAGCCCCTCCCCATGCTGAGACTCGGGTGCTGCGGTGGGAGGGTGGCCGTTGATGATGGCTCTAAGAGTGCCCTGTGACGCTCAAGATGGCCTCCACGATGGCTTGCGATGTCTTGGCTGGTTGCATCTTGCCCCCAAGATGCCGAAAGGAGGCCCCAAGACTGCTCCGAGACGGCCTGACTCAAGTGGCCAGAAAGCCTCGCAAGGATACCCCTCAGAGGCCAAACTCCTACCAACACCTGTAGGAACTCAGCGTGGTTGCGCCACCCCGCCTTCTCGCTTCCGCTGGGCTCTCGTCGGCGGTGGACAAACCTCCCTTTAGTAAACCTCCCCTTCGTGAAAACGGCCTGGGACCGAAACCGACGGACCTGGACCCGCAAAAATGACGGCCGCGACGCCCTCTCGTGAACCGAAAACGGCCAATTCCTCAATCGACGTGTCAGGGTAGGAGGTCTATCCACCTCCGATCTTGAGGCCCCAACATGGCTCAAAGATGGAGCAATAGAGCCCCAAGAGGGGCCCACGAGGGCCCCCAAGAGCGCCCTCCAGAGGCCACCTCGGTGCTCCAGAGGGGGTTGGGCTAGTCGGGGACACCTTGTCGCTCAACATCAGACTCATCGAAGAGCCGTTGTGCTGGTCAATGATGTTGGCCTCTCGGGTGCATCATGGGACAGCTGCTGGGCCAGCATGGCTCCAAGATGGCTCTCAGATGGCTCCAACGATTGCTCGAGGTGGCCACCACTCCAGGTAGCAACTGAGATCCCCCAGGAGGACTCCAAGATGGCCCAAGAGGACCCTGAGACAGGCCCAAGAGGACTCCAAGAGAGGCCTAAGAGGCGATCTTCTGGGCTCCAGCTGGGCGGGGCGAATTGACCAGCACATCTCCTTCATAGATGACCTACAAGATGGCCCCGAGAGCGCCCCCAGGCCTCCAAGAGAGCCCCAAGAGAGCCCCAAGAGGGCTCCAAGAGCGACCTACGAGGCGATCGTTCGGGCTGCAGGAGCCAATTGACCACCCCATCTCCATGATCGATCCGTATGGCCCCAGGAGCACCCCCAAGACCGCTCAGAGAGCCCGACGAGAGCCCAAGAGGCCCTAAATAGAGCACCAGGCCTCCAGAAAGGCCCTGAGATGGCCAAGGTAAGCTGCCAAAAGATCCTCACATCGAAAGATCCGCGAAGGCATTTATGGTTCACTCCTGTGTCAGCTTAAGCAGATCCCTTCGGGGATGGACAGACCTCCCTTTAGTAAAACGTGGTTTAGTGAAAACGACCTCGGGCCCAAACCTGGCGGGCGCAAGCCTAGAAAATAACGGCCGCGGCGCCCTCTCGAGAACCGAAAACGGACAATTCACTAATCGACGTGTCACTGTTGGGGGTTCTGTCCACCCCCGATCCCTATGTCGGTTTGACGGCTGCCCCCCCCCGTTCTGATCCGCTGCGTGCTCCCACATAACCTCTCCCACACTTACCGGATCAGTGCAGCTCACCCAGGCATCGTTGCTGGATGCTCTGCTGGGATTCCGCGGCGCGCTGACAATTCTAAGTACATGGACATGTGATGCCCCATAGTTTCCTGAATGAACTCTCACGTCGCAGAAATCTGATCTGCGCAACCTACCCCGCGGTAAATAACTCACTCCGCTACTTGGCCCCACACATCAATGTTACCCTCTGCCGTGCACGTTTGACTTTGACGATGTGCGTGCGAATTGAGTCCCCAAGAGGAGATTTCCGCCGGCCTGATACATAGAAGAAGACAATACTACATACACATAAACAGTTGGCGCTCTAAGCGGATTTCTTGGATCTGCGCTGGACCCCCATCCCTGGCGCGCGGAGCGCGCACGGGGCGGCGCCAGAGGCGCCGCCAGGGGGGCAAGCGCAGATCCAAGAAACCCGCGCGGAGCGCCAGAAATTTATGTTTATGGCGTGTTTTTCTCCGATATACATGCATGCCTGTATACGCAAGGAAAGCGTGCGTGAGCATATCCGCGAATCCACCAGCCCCTGGGGCGGAGGTGGTCCCGCGGGTCGGGTCCGCTACTCCACGCCCACACCTTCTCCTTCGGGGAAGGGCGCAAGCAGTCAGAGCGACCGAGAACGCCCAGGAGTGGGACAGCTCCAGGAGGACCACGTATTGTTCATAATGGCTCCATGCTTGCTCACCATGGCCCAACAACGCAACAACGGAGCCCTTAGCTATCACGGAGTCATCTAAGAATGCTCCCGAAAGGCGCTTCTCAAGCGAGTGTTGGTCATAGTGGTGTGTCCTTTGTCTTTGCGCTGCCGATCGTTTTCTGAAGCCGCCCCAAGACGGTCCGAATGCCCAGAAGCGTAACAAGAGGGACCCAACAACGAACAACGAACACCGCAAAAGCTCAGAAGAACACCCCAAACAGGACTAGGAGAACTCCGATAAATGTGTCCTAGCATTTGTTTCCGGCTCCGGCGGGGACCGTAGTGAACGACGAACGAACGAATGAGTCTGCCATCGCCCCGGGGCGTCCCATGCAAGGGCGGCAGGCGCGCCAAACGCGCTGGCCTCCAGGAAGGCCGGGTTGCGGGAACAACGTGACATCAGCGCCACGTGCGGTTCACGTGCTCATCTTCGTGGGGACCGTAGTGAACAAGAAGGCTGGAAGCACACGTTTGAAGGGGCCCTGGGACACACACATAAATACACACAAATAAAAGGATTCCACATATTTCCCCATATTTTCTGTGTTTCTGTCTTCCCCCCCACTTCCCATGTTTTCCCATATTTCCTGAGGAATCGACGATGAATTGTGTCTGTGTTTTTTCTCCTCCTGATCTTCATGGGGACCGTAGTGAACAAGAAGGCTGGAAGCACACGCTGCTGGATTCACATATGGTGGAACATGGGAGGCCACGCGGCGGACACACCCGAGGCGTGATCGCTGGCCGCACGTACTGGCTACAGGAAGGCCCCGAAGGCCCCCCAGCAGTGCCCCAAAAGTGAAGAGCGCCTCCGAAAGCGCACCAGAAGAGCCCCAAGAGGCCTCCAATACAGTCAAGACGCTGAAATAAGGAACAGTTTGGGTTTGCTGTTCCTCTTGCCCTCCTGTTGCACGGAGGCGCTTACAGGGCCAAGAAGGGGCTTCGTTCCTTATTCAGCGTTCCTTCTTTCAGCGGCCCGGCTGTAGGCCCCCTTCTGAGAAGGTTCGCCAAACAGCTTTTCTGGCTGACTCGTGCTTTCTTCGCGCCTCTGCGCTGCAAGGAGAAACTCAGGAGAGTCGGCCACGAAACCCTTCGCAGCGGGAGGCCATCCAGAAGAAGATGCGCAAGACACTGTGAAAGTGATTGAGCCACTGTCCCCCCTCTGTCCCTACATACGCTACAGCAGCACTGCCCTGATCAAGGCAACTCGCCTAAGGATCGGTTATGGATTAGCTGGTGGGGACAGCGAAGCGAGAAGAACTTGGAACGACGGCTTGCAGGACGGCGTAATCACATTTTTGGTACACGTAGTGCCCCCAGACGCGACGAGTGGCTTCTTGTGTGCCTGGGAGCTGCGGCGGCATTTGCAAATCGAAAGCATATCATTTGACCACCAACCTTTGAGAGAACGATACTCAACAACAAGTCGCTCAGCAACCGCCGGGGGGGTCTCAAAAGGGGAGGGACCCCTCCCCCCGCCCGAGCACTGAAGGGGAAGAGGGGGAAAGGGGGAGCCCCCCCCCCCGGCACTCGAGACTCTCTCTCGCTCCCGCGCCCTGGAGGAGAGGACCCCCGCCCCCCTGGCACATCCGACACTCGAGGCTGTCTCTCGCTCCCGCACCGTGGAGGACGGGACCCCCCCCTCCCCCCCTCTCTCTTTCCCCCTGCACTCGAGGCTCTCTCTCGCTCCCGCGCCCTGAAGGGGAGACACCCCCTACCCAGCACACGAGCCTCTCTCTTCCCCCGCGCTCTGGAGGGGGGGATCCCCCACCTCTGAGAGCATGGGAAAAAGGTAAAATAAAGCAGGTCCGAGAAAACAAGACCACGACCCAGGGGACGATAAAACAAGAAAACAAGACAACGATTCAGGGTCAAAGAAAACGAGACCACGACCCAGGGGCCAAGAAAACGAGAAAGCAAAACAACGAAACAGGGCCCGAGAAAACGAAACAAAACCCCAGGGCCGAGAAAACGGGAAAACAAACCATAGTCCGAGAAACGAGACCACGACCCAAGGGCACAGAAAACGCGAGAACGAACCAGGGTCAGAGAAAACACGACCGCGACCCAGGGGGCCGAGAAGACGAGGAAATGATGAGGAAACCGACGCGGAGGAAGGGAACGCCCCCCGAAAGGAGGGGGGGGCCTTAGCCCTCCCTCCCCTGCCACTCGTTCGCGAGCGGGGGGGGGCCTTCCGACCCCCCCCTGGGATTTTTGTTCGTTGGGCATCGCCCGAACCAACCTTTTGGAAACCCTGCGACGCCGCGCAAAACCTGAACGGCGCAAGCACGCAGGGCCCCCGCATGGGGCCTCCAGAAGCGCGAGGAAAGGAGACATGCGCGCGTGGAAGCGTGTATGACGCAACAAGATGGAACACACGAGCCGACGAGTGAGACTGCCCACTGCTCCGAACATGCAACAACGGCAGAGTGACGTGAACGAGCGCAGTGACTGTTTTCAGCAGGGGCGATGGAGCGGCTGTCCGCGTCATTGCTCCATCCTCTGCCTCAGCACGCCCTCGGCAGCTGTGCACTTGTCCTCGGGCCGGCCGCTCGCGGCCGGAATCATGTGCCGAAAAGGGGGGTGGCCGCCATGCGACTCTTGCCACTGGGGCCGTGGGTGGATCTCCCCATGGGCCCACGAATCGTGTGAGGGTTGTGCCCAAACGAAGGGGCAGCCGCCATGTGACTCCTGCCACTGGGGCCCATCGGTGGACCTCCCCATGTGGCCACGAACCGTGGGAGGGGTGTTGAAGGGGCCCCAGGACACACAAATAAATACACACAAATAAACATATTCCCCATATTTTTACATATT